TGGTACCAGTAGGATTCAGCTTTTGTTCTAAAACAGCCTTTGAGTCAAACCATGGGGACTGCATCCAATCCAATCAATTCTCAGCATGTCTAGTATGGATGACCTAGCCCCTTCCCAGCTACCGCTTTTTTATTGACAAATTTCTGGTTGTTTCAAAGATGAGCTACACATCACTAAGAAAATGATTAAAAGACAAGGACAGCCACCAGAGAGATGTTGCCCCTAATCTGAAAGAAGTGACTTTAGGTAAAAGCTGGGTTCCTTGGGACTCATTACATATATTTTACATTTCCCAAGAAAAGGTGAGGGAGGGAAAGCCTGCCTTCATACTTTCTTGGAAGTACAGAAGGCTGGCTGCTTTAGCCACTTCTCCTAATGCCAACCATCCCTCAATGCCAATGGGAGAACCATTGCTATTTCCTAACCACCTCACAGAAGCTTCTCACTTGTTTACTGCAGAGCTAGAAGGAAGGGTGGGGAGTGAACTTTCTAAGCATGATATCTGAAGCCGATTAGCTCCCTGTGCCTTTTTCAAGATGCCCCTCCGGTTGTGGGCTGTGGAAGGGGTGATTTCTTTCCACAGTGCATGCAGCGCCCACTGTCTTGGACCCTGACCTATAGATCTCGGGGGAAAGAAAGAAACTAGGCAGCACTGAAACACTCTCTCCCTCATGGTTGACAGGGGCCATTTGTCTCTGCAACACGAGGGCAAGTAGAGCCCGCCATCACCCGCCTGATCTAATGGTAACACATTAAAGGCACATCTCCAAAGGTTCAGGATTTTCAATCAGTTTTAAATCAGTTTCACCCACTCTATGTCTCGCATCGACCTAGAAGTCCCGTGCTGGGTATCTGATAAGTGAGCCCGTGTTTGGCATTTAATCCAATATTTATGCACAGAGATTGTGAAACAACACAAAACAGTCCTCCCCTCCCCCAATTTCACCTACTGGAAGAGAGAAGATATGTGACTGGTTCAGGGAAGACTGTTTTTAAATGCCATGTTCTTGCCTCCAGGTACAATGGGAACTTGAACTGATGATAAAGCCAAGCTCTCTGCTTTGAGTAGACCAATGGATAAGAAAAGCTTGCAGCCCCAAGTGAAGTAAGTCCATCAGAGAAAGACGAGTATTGCATGATCTCATTCATACATGGAATCTAATTAACAAAATAAACTGATGAATGGAGTGGATCCAGAGACAGGGAAGCATGGAACAGAGTGCGGAATCTCAGAGGGAAGGCAGGGGAGGGAGGATGGGTTGGAGATAATCAACCAAAGACATTATATGCATATATGCATAACCCATGGATGCAGACACTGGGGTGGTGAGGGCCTGGAGTGGGGAGTGGGGTAGGGTGGGGTGGGCTGGAGGGAGATGATGGGGGGAAAAGGGAACATATGTAATACTTTCAACAACAAATATTTTTTAAAGTATCAAATTATACACTTTAAATATGTGCAGTTGACTATATGTCACTGATATGTCAATAAAACTATGTAAAAAAAAAACACAAAGAAAAAAAAAAAAGCTTGCAGCCCGGCCAGCACGGCTCAGTGGGTGAACGTCGACCTATGAACCAGGAGGTCACACATGGTTTGATTCCCGGTCAGGGCCCATGCCTGGGTTGTGGGCTCCATCCCCAGTATGGGGCATGCAGGAAGCAGCCAATCAATGATTCATCTCTCATCACTGATGTTTCTATCTCTCCCTCTCCCTTCCTCTTTAAAATCAATAAAACTGTATTTTTTAAAAAAGAAATGCTTGCAAAAGCACACTTAGATGAAAATGTTCTAGAGTTATAGTGGTGATGGTTGCACAACTTCGTGAAAATTCAAAGATAGAGATGTATACTTTAAAAGGGGGAATTTTTGCCGAAACCGGTTTGGCTCAGTGGCTAGAGCGTCGGCCTGTGGACTGAAGGGTCCCAGGTTCGATTCCGGTCAAGGGCATGTACCTGGGTTTGCGGGCACTTCCCCAGTGGGGGATGTGCAGGAGGCAGCTGATCGATGTTTCTCTCTCATCAATGTTTCTAACTCTCTATCCCTCTCCCTTCCTCTCTGTAAAAAATCAATAAAAAATATTTTAAAAAAATAAAAGGGGGAATTTTATGGTATATGAGTGATACCTCAACTTTTTTTAAATAAAAGCACACTTAAAACTAGGATTCCCCAAGGGAGTCAGGCGCTTCTTGGCTATCTGCACCTGTTCTGGCAAAACACTGCTCTCAGGGGCAGAAGAGCTTGTCAGCTCCCCTGGGGAAACCAAAGCTGGGGCTCTGGCGTCACCCCCAGCTCTGCCAAGTTCCAGCTGTGTGTCCCTAGGGACATAACCCTCTTCTACCTACCTCAGAGCCTGGAGAAGTCTTAGGACCATCTCACATATAGCAGGAACTCAGGACGTGCCGACTGTTAAAGTCTACTCCTGGAGAAGCGTAAACCATAGGGAGTAGAGACCACTGCTTCTCACCTCCTGAGATCATGGCACATCCTGGGGAGAGGGGTATCAATTTAGGAACTTTAAAGGCTGGTAACAAGCCTGGTATCTAAATTTTTCCCTAACTTAAACTTTGAACCATAATTTGTACCCACACCTTGGATCCTCCTTCTGTCTTTATCATTTCCTCACTGACTTCAGAGGGACACTAAGTCACATATTCTCTTTATAGGAATAAATGTTCCAACCCTGCCCTATTCATGCCTTAAAATCTTACAACTCTTGGGTACATCGCTAATCTCTATTTCTATTCCAAATTTTGTCTATTTCTCTACCAGACTACACTGTTTTAGTTTTGGAAGTTTAATCATATAGTTCACTATTTGTTGGGGGAAATTCTCCCTTTTAAAAACTTTTTTTAAACTCCCTTTTAAAAACACATGTTTCTTAGCTTTGTGTTCATTTTCTTTTCTTTTTTCCAAGAGAACAAATCCATTTTATTTATTTACTTTTCAGTAAGTTTAAATCCTTGAGAGGAACAGCATTATATGAATTCTGTGTCCAATGGCCTAAGCAAGAAGGTTGTTTTGGAAATACCCATGAACCATGCCACTGTTTCCATGAGCACAGTGACCCTTCCCTAGGTGACTCTGGTTTTGTTCGCTTTGTCACCAGGAGTCACTTGCTTTGCACACATAAGCACATCTCTTGTTTAGATAGAATTCAGTATCTTCTGAAGCATAAACACCTTCAATTTTAAGATATAATTCTAAATTATATCAAGCATAAACACTTTCAAATTTGAGATCTGTGTGCTCCCTCTGGTTCTGGAGACCCTGCTTACAGCCAATAACAATGGCCTTGGACCACAGCCTTCAAGGCATACAGGGTGTCCCCTGAAAAAAACAATTTTGGGGGGAAACCCTGTATTTTTTCTTATAAAAGTTCTGTTCCAAGCAGCCTCCACAGGCTGCAAGATGGAGAAAAGAGTGTGTTTATTTTTTTACATGAAGTGTAAAATTATACTTTCAGGTTGCAAAAAAGGAATCCCATTGCTTGGAACTTCATTTAGTTTACAAATACTGCACAAATGTGAGGGCCACCTACTACTAGTCTTCTTCACAAGCGTAGGTTTCCCCATTTGGGAACATGGCTTGTCTTTCCATTTCCATCTATGCTAATGCACTGTAGTCATGTTTTAGACATAGCTTATTAATTTTAGGAGTGACATGGCTTTTGTTGGGATTTACTTCCTGTTTATTGATAATGTGTAAGAAAACTATCAATTTCTCTATTTAGTAGTTGGCTCCCCTGTGAAATTATTCTAAGAGTTTTTTAGTTGTTTCTCTTGGATTCTCCCAAAAGAGACTACCTATAAAGGCTTCTCTTTCCTAATGTTTCTAATAGTTCTTGCTCCATTTTATATAATTGTGCTTTCTGAAGGAGGCTGAAGAGTGGGGCTAGAGGTAACCCGGTGTTGTGCCCCAATGGGATACCTCTAGAAACAAATTAGTTCCTTACATTTGCTTTCTACATTTAAAGAAACATTTGCTAATAGGAAAACTGTACATACTGAGAAAAATTTAGAATGTTCACAAAATAGATATTGCTCTTAGGAGTGACTGGCCTCCACTGTGACCCTCTGGCCAGAGCTCATGATGACAGAAGCTATTTGTAATGCCACTGTCTAAGGCCAACATATGGAAAGAGTCAGGATGTCCACTCCTGTGCCCTTGCCAAAGCCTTTGTCAGCAGAGCTAGGAAGGCTGCATTTGACTGAGCCCCAGCTTTCGAGATTGGAGCCCAGAAGTTACCATGTGGATTCCAACATCTCCATTCCTGTGCTGCCTCCCTGGCTCCTGGTCCTGGCTGGTACTCTCTCCCGGGCTGTAGGCAAGCCACGAATTAGATACAAAAAAGCTGGTCTGGGTTTCAGCTTACTGGAAAATAAGGGTCACTCACCATTCCATTATAATTTTGTTTAGACACCAGATAGCTATGTGGAATGTTTTCGTAGGTTACACTAAGGTTAACTTCATCTTAACTAGCTGGAAATCCCTCCCATCAGTGGTCTGAAAGTACAGCAACTTTACTGTACTTAGAAGTTCATCATGTCCTAGGGCAGCTCATCACTTAAGCTTATTTCCACAGTTGGCTTCACTTGGAACTGACAATGGAGGAATTTTAATGAGTTTGACAGGGAAAGGACAGCCACACAAGATTTTTGTGTGTGTTTTCCACATGGACTTAAAAAAAAACTGGTTTGCTTTCAGCAGATTTCTTCATTGAGCCTACAGAAATAAACAAAATATTAGCATGCTATCAAACTCTTCAGTGAAAATGTATTTCACATTAAAGACAATGTCCATATCATGCAAATGAGGCATCACCCCAGTTATAATGACACTGTGAAGGACAACAGATCACAACGAAACAGACCTTTGGCAAAATGAAGCTGTAAGAAAGAGGGCGAGGCATTTTTTGAAAGACAGACTATGCTATCATTTTCTGTGCTTATCATAAAATGGATTTTCCCCAATAGTCATCAAGATCAATGGCACTGCGTTAGTGGAGGCATATATTTTATTTTAGTTTTTACACATACACAAACATACACAGTTTCCATAACTAATAAAGTCTTAAACTGCAGCTGGTTTTGAAAGCACATAAACAAGATTACTATTGACACTGCTTTGTATTTCCTGGTTGCAAACCTCGGTCAGAAGTATGGATCTTTCTAAGCTCTTATTGTACAAGTCAAAAAAAGGGGTTTCAAAGAAGGAAAGGTTATTTTAATCTGAAAGTCACATTTCACCACAAGAAATTAAATTAAGAAAACACATTATAGGGCATAAAACACGAGGAGTATACATTCTAGCGTCATCTATTCTCTGTTCAGATGTTCTATGTTAAAGTCCATTATAGTGACACACAGAGTCTTGTTCAGGGCCCCTTCATTTCGGAGCATTATCGTTTTCACTTGTGCCTGGTTTTATTAGAATTGAGCAAACACCGGAGCAAACAAAGAAACAAAAGCCCCAATAGCAACAACGTCAAAACCAACCACCAGTGCATGAGACACAGGATTCACTCAGTTTAAAAGCCACTTGATGGTTTGGAGTGTCTACAGCTTGGAGGTTTTAAGGTGCAACATGAAAAGGTCCTTGCTAGATTCAGCTGCTCATGTCTATAGGAATATATATCAGAAAACAGCAATCATTCCACTGTATAATGGATTCCTTACTCAACAAGTTATTCCATTAGCTCCTCAAGGAGTAATCTGGCGCAACGCATTTGGCAGGTGACTAAGCTTAATAATAAAATGGCTTCTTGATAGTAACTTCCAACAAAGAAACCTCAGAGAGAGGGGAAAACCCTCTGGAATTTCTTCTTTTAAACAAAGATGGGAGATATGCAGCCCACGATCAGTATATGTTTAAGTAGAGTCTGGGTAAATGTCTAGAATATTTACAGGAATCATCTAAATGTTTATGTGCTCCAACTTTGGGAATAAGAATGGTTACAAGGTGAATTTCCCAGCTAGAATGACTCATTGGTTTCGGATGATCACTATGATAATAGAGTAAATAGTATAGTAAGCACTTTATCAGCAGCCGAAGCTCATAAATAGAACCGTAACATGAAATGTCGCTAAAGCCCGACAAGGCCAACTTCGCAAGGTTTCTACCAAGAGTGGCCAGTGTTTGATATACTAACTAGGAATACAATTACATCTCGATTTAATGATTTGGAATCCAGTGGTTAGGGACGACAGGAGCTCCTTCCAAGGGCTGGCAGCTTGGATCTCATGGCCAGCAGCTTCATGGCTTCTCTAAACGCCACCTGTGTCAATTCACAAACAGACCTCGGTGAGACCGATGAAGAGACTGAGTATTTGCAATTTGCAGCCCCTATGCCCTCTCCCTAAATGCTCCCACACTGAGATGTTCTGCCTGCCTGGTGAGTTTCTTTTCCGTGGCTCACACGGCATCTCTCGGCAGAAGTGCTGCAGCATTTTGAGTAGGACTGTTCTTTTGGGTGGGCTGAGTTTTCTTTGTGTGGATTGTCTGAAAACCTGCAGGATGTTCAAAGTCCCAAGCTTTGCTTTCCAGATGCCAGAGCTGCCACCAGCCATTGTGACAACAAAAAACCCCCAACAGCCCTACCCGGTTTGGCTCAGTGGATAGAGCATCGGCCTGTGGACTGAAGGGTCCCAGGTTCGATTCCAGTCAAGGGCATGTACCTTGGCTGCGGGCACATCCCAGTAGGTAGTGTGCAGGAGGCAGCTGATAGATGTTTCTCTCTCATCGATGTTTCTAACTCTCTATACCTCTCCCTTCCTCTCTGTAAAAAATCAATAAAATATATATATTTAAAAACCAACACATTTCCAAATGCCCCCCCCCCCAACCCTGCAGGTACCACCTCTGGTTGGAAAGAACTTGAGAACTGGACTATATGAAAAATGTATACAAGCAATAGGAATGCAATTATTTAGCCCAGGTATTTTTTTTTCTTTTTGGACAGGGAGTTTGCACTTCTTTTAGTTAGAAATGCAGGAACTAGACTAGAGGAGCCTAGGTTTTGTGGATTTTTCTGGTCCTTACTGAATAGTGAGGTCAGTGAACTGAAGGGTTTGAGGTATGCTAACAACAAAAGAAAACTTCTATTAAATATTAAGCTGTATGTCAGGGAAATAGAATCCTTAGGTATGGTTTTTGTTTTTGAAGTGTCCAAGAAGGCAGCTGCTCTTCCAAACTAGGGATATTCTTTATTTTAAAAATTATCTGTCATACATTCCCTCCCACGTGTGAAGGGACCACAACTGCTTTCCCAGGAGCCAAGAGACGGGGACTCTAAAATGTGCTGTGTACAGCCAATAGCTGAGGTCAGACAGAAAGAAGTATAAGAAACACCATGACCTCATCCATGTGGCCTCCCCAACCTGTTTCCTCGCTTGAGAAAGAGAAAGATTGGACTAAGTCATATCAGGCATCAAAGTTCTGTTATAGGAATGGAGCAGCAGGGAAAAAAGTGACTGAGAGAATGCTGAGACTATAAAAACATCTAAAAGGAGTGTACAGCGGGAGGAATTTGGCATTATTAAGTTATAAAAAACCTAATAAGTTCTAATTTCCAAATTTAGGATTAATTTATAAATAAATTCTAATCACTGAACAACAAATGAGCCTCAAACTGAAGTAAATCCAATGTGAGGTGTGTATAACTAAATGCACACAAATGCAGAGGGGTTTGGAACCCATAGATATAACTTAAACAATAAGAGATTCTAGAAGAACTTTGGCAAGAAAAAAGGCCAAAAGTGGGGAACAAAAACTTCAGGGCACAAACTTCAGTCCCCCGCCTCAAACCCCCACTCCCTCAGGTATGCTCCAGGAACAAATGTTTGCTTTGGAAGACTCCAGAACGGGTCCACAGAACAGGCAATCATTTGGCCCAACATCAATGTATACGAATGATTCCAGCTAGAACATGAGATGTTGCTGAGTAAAACTAGGGGAGAAGTTCATTTTATTAACACTACCTCGTACCACTATGAGAGCATTCTCTCTTCTAAATAAGGTCCTACTTGAGACAGGTGTTAGGTCAAACTTGTAGGCAGTGCTTTTCAACACATACACCCCATCCACAGACCCCAAACAGCAGAGCTGGGCATGGCAGGTGTGGTGCTGAAGGCTCCCATATGAAGGATTTACTTGAAATCCACTTCAATTATTGTGTGTGCTGCAGTATATACCATATATTCATATTCATGTTTGCATTTTTCAAATAAAACTGACCATCCTGGCCCAGCTGGCATGGCTCAGTGGGTGAGTGTCAACCTATGAACCAGGAGGTCACAGTTTGATTCCCAGTCAGGGCACATGCCCACGTTGCAGGCTCGATCCCCAGTGTGGGGCATGCAGGAGGCAGCCGATCAATGATTCTCTCTCATCATTGATGTTTCTCTCTCTCTCCCTCTCCCTTCCTCTCTGAAATCAATAAAGTATTTAAAAATAAATAATAAAACTGACCACCCAGGAGGCTGAGTGATGTTTATCCTACCTTCACAACCCCAGTTGGAGAGTTATAGATGTAGACTATCATCAAAAGACTGTACCTTTCATTAAAGAGATGCTGTATTTGTCAACAGAAGGTGTTCAGAGTACTTTCTTGGCTGGGACTGTTAAATCCTTCGATCAGGTTTTTGTTACAGTCATCCAGGCTGAGATTTTCACTGGATCTCTTGGGGAACATGGGGGGGCCGGTGAAATCTAAGAGATCTTGAAGAGCTCGGGCATTACCAGTTCCATTTTGGTCCAGAGACATCCCAGGAATCATTTCACTCACTGGTGAAAATTCTGGGATGGAGATAAGCTCTTCTTTTGAAACAGGACTAAGGGGGGGAGGGGGATGGGCAGAGAGAGGAGGAGAGAAGGAGAAGGAGAGGGAGAGAGACAGACAGACAGACAGATAGAACTATTAATTCTAATATTTTGTTATACTACTCTTCTTTTCTAGAGAAGGTGGATTTAGAGCCAGAGCTTGTATGTAACACATTGTAAAAAAAAAAATGTTAGTTCAAATCTGAGTCACTGACAGACACAAGGCCCCGTGGATGAGAACAAGGGAAGGGGATTGAGCAGGGCTGTGAAGGTCAAGCTCACACCGTGTACAGGAAAGAAGGATATAGGAAGCACAGGCACCAGCCCTCTACTGCAGAGAAGCCAAGTACTTCCCAAACCTTGGAAATGGGAAACCCTGACAGAATGCAAAGGCTGGAAGTTGAAAGTGAGCCGAGGAAGGGTCCTAATTGGCCTCAGGGCTTGGGATGCTGCCTCTCTCTAGCAGTGCAGCCTGGGCGAACTGCTTTTTGTTCCCCAGCCTTAGCTTCCTCCACTGTAAAATGGGACAGTCATTTCTCCTGCCAGGGTTCCTGCGAGCAAGCAGGACACACTCCTGCTGGGGGCGTTCCTGTGAGCCACCTGCTGTGAGTGCTCAGTGAAGGTTGGGGCCATCTCAACAAGGACCCCAACATCCAACCCAGCACCTGCAGAGTGAATCTCTCCCTCCCCCCACTCCTTCTCTAAAGTGAGACTTCCACTCCGCCCCCTGACTTATCCAGCTCCTGCCCAGTGGGCCTTATTCCCTCTCTCCTCTCCCTAGAGATGGAAGGCAGCTGTGCCAACCATGAGTAGTGGGCTGCAGTTTGAGGGCCTGTCACCTGGAGTCTCTCTTATCAGCCAGAATAAGGCTGCTGCCAGGTTGGTCTGTCTGTTCTTTTTCCCCTCAAAAAGATCTTAGAGAAGAATCTAGAACAGCGGTTCTCAACCTGTGGGTCTCGACCCCTTTGGGTTGCCTAAGACCATCAGAAAACACATATATAATTACATATTGTTTTTGTGATTAATCACTATGCTTTAATTATGTTCAATTTGTAACAATGAAAATACATCCTGCATATCAGATATTTACATTACGATTTATAACAGTAGCAAAATTACAGTTATGAAGTAGTAACGAAAATAATGTTATGGTTGGGGATCACCACAACATGAAGAACTGTATTAAAGGGTCGCGGCATTAGGAAGGTTGAGAACCATTGATCTAGAAAAACCCGTTGCACTGTAGAAGCTCAGAAGACCTCTCCCTCACACTGAGCAGCAGCAGACCTGACACTACTTCTGGTGGCTGGAGCCTGGGAAACCTGCCTCATTAGCAGGAACACCCGCTTCAACTCCTGGGGTTTAAGAGCTGGTCAGAGCTTGGGGAGGAGAGAATGCCCCAACCTTGGGCACAACCTCCAGAAATCTCTCTCCAAAGCAGAGGTAGCCACAGGGACAACTCAGTACGCACAGAAAGCTCCTGTCCTTTCTTGAACCCTGGCTGGTGCCATGTCTTGCCCTCTTCCCCCACCCAGAGACATGAAGACTAAGGGGGTTCATGCCCTAGCCCAGTGGTCAGCAAACTGCAGCTCGCGAGCCACATGCGGCTCTTTGGCCCCTTAAACACATTGTATACGGGAAACGTATTTATACGTTTTACGTTGACTGTAAGTAGTAGAGCCACCTGTTACTACCCGCATACAATGTGTTAAGTGTGGCTCTTCCACAAAATACCAGCTCTTCCACAAAATACCGACTTCTGTGCATGGGCCACGAAGTTTCAATCTCACTGTACGTGCGCGCCTGCACGTGGTATTTTGTGGAAGAGCCACACTCAAGGGGCCGCAGTTTGCCGACCACTGACTTAGGGGTATTAGTATTGTGAATACATTTGTGTTTGGTGCCCTGTGCATTGTGTCTGGTTGTGTTGTATTTTGTGCCTTTAAGTCAACGCAGGAGAGCTACCTCGGTTGCAGGCTCCTCCTTGGCCCTGGTCAGAGCAAGCTTGTGTGGGAGGCAACCAATCGATGTGTTTCTCTCACATTGCTATTTCTCTCTGTCTTTCCCTCTCTCTTCCAGTCTCTCTAAAAATCAATGGAAAAATACCCTTGGGTGAGGTTTACAAAAAAAAAAAAAGAAGAATCAGGTTCAGCATAAGGGTAGGGGGTGGGGTGGAGTGAGAATGTTATGTTAACCTTTAAGATGCCTCAGCTGTTTTCCCTGGGGGCAGCCTGCTATGACGGTGGCTGCTGGTGGCCAGTGGTGACAAGAGATGGGGAGATGGTGGCAAAAGCCGAGGAGGTCCTGCAATCAGTTTGCATAGGACTTGCTCTTCTGGTGATGGGGCTGCCAGACCCTGGGTTTTCACATATCCGGCTCAGGCCTGGGTGCCCGAGCTGGGGTAGTTACAGTCGGTGCGCCCTGGGAAAGACCTCGGCCTCATGCCCTCCCCTCCCTCAGACCAAGCTGGGAATTCACAGCCAAGGGGCAGGGCAAGCTCCAGTAGAGCTTTTACACGACACTGTGGGTCCCTCCTGACTCAGAGAACCCCACGCACTCCCAGACAGAGGGAAGGCTGACTGCCCAGGGCTCTCCGTTCTAAGTGCCTCTGCCCAACCCCATGCAAAGGGCGGTCTCCTCTCTGTCTGGGGTTAATTTGCCAGGTTGTGTCATCCACAAACATACTTAAGTTTTTAGAATCTGAAAGCAAACTAGTTCCATTATCAAGTCTCCAATGACAGGTTCACTTAAACATGAGACACTAGACACTGTGGGCCCTGTGGGTGCCCCTTTACCTGCAGGCGCACTCATCCCTCAGCTGCAGAGAGCTTGCTGCTAAGGATTCAGAGCTGCCACCCGTTTTCAGGAAAACTGCCTTCAGCTGATGGGAGCCTCATGCCCATAGACATTATACCAGCATCCCCCTGCCCTGAGCAGCCCACAGCCAATGACTGACGGATCAGTGGCGTGTAGGCTGCCTCCGTATTTCATTCAGACCATGCTCTGATAGAAATTCATCCTCCAGGGCTCCCGTGCCTAAGGATTTCCCCTGCTCCATCCTGTTCCCTGCTCTGTCCACTTTCTCCTGAGAACTCTGATAAATCGCAGGCCCTAGACCCCCTCGCCCCAGGCTCTGCTTCTAAGGAGCCTGACCCAAGACACTAATGTACCACTGAGAGCTTTCCTGAATGGCAACCAAACCTACCTGCGGTGAGCTGGGTGTGTAAAAATAAAGAAATCAACTATGAGGCTGGGGAGGTGTTTGGAGAAGAGATGAGGCTCAAATGCAACAGAAATCGACTTACCTCACATCCATCGACTGAACTTCTTCAGTTGAGTCATCCAGACTGTTTGATTTCCCATCCAGGGCATCCAGATGAACAAGTGCCTCAACTGGTTTAAGCCCACTGGAGCAACTGTCTCGGGGGAAAGTTGCTGGGGCAGCACGCTCCACACTGTTAACTTCCTGGCAGGTGCTCAATCCATTGATTTCTGATTGAGAACACAAAGTCGTTCTGTTAATCATAAAATATCCAAAACACTCAATTTAAAGGCAAAAACTGTCAAACTGGATTAAAATAACAAGTCCTGAATATATGCTGTTTACATTTATAAGGACACACATAGGTTTAAAGTAAAAGGACAGAAAAAGATTTACTATGCAAATGCTAATCATAAATAGACTGATGAAGCGGACTTTAAGACAAGTATTACTAGAGATAAAGAAGGAAATTTCTTTTTTAAAAAATGTGTTTTATTGATTTCAGAAAGGAAGGAAGAGGGAGAGAGATAGAAACATCAATGATGAAAGAGAATCATTGATCAGCTGTCTCCTGTACGCCCCACACTGGGAATTGAGCCAACAACCCGGTCATAGGTTAATGCTCAACCACTGAGCCATGTTGGCTGGGCAAGAAGAAGGACATTTCTAATGATAAAGGTGTCAACTCAGTAGGAAAATTAAGTCATTTGAAATATATATTCACCTAACATGCTAAAAAAGAGCTGGATTACCCAGAAGTGTGGAAGGCAGGAGACACCACCACAAAGCAGCGGTCAGTTCTTAATAGAACCTGCCCAGCAGTTAAGCTCCTGGTAAGCAGTATGGGCCAACAGACTGCTGGCTCCTGCTCCACTACTATTAGAGTAACTGAGGAACCCAGTGCTTTCCAAATGGACCTGGCAGACCTGTGCTGGAGATGGAGATTCCAACGGGAAGGGAAAGTACGCAGCCCCCGTCCAGCAATCACGCTCTTAGGACCCCCGGGTACTTGTCCCCTGCAGGAAATGCGTCAAGCCCTCACCTGCTGAAAGGAGAAACCCAAGAACCAGACCTCACACTCACCTATTTTGTTCGGGACAACTGGTTCCAGCTTATTTTCCATACACACAGCAGGCTGGAGCTCTATTTTCAGGTCTTCTTTCTGAAAACAGAGGGAAGGCTGACTTCACATAAAAAGACAAATGCTTTAAAAAGCATTGGAGGGTATTTGGAACCACGCTGAGCCATCTGCCTGCTCCATGGTAGTTCTTTGGATCTTCTGAGCTTATTACAAATCAGCTGTGTTTCCCTTACTCATATGTCACCATTCTCTTTTTTTATTCATGACTACTGTGTCTCTCCCTGCATCCCCACCCCCCATTTCTCTGAGGAAATTTTTAATTACCACCCTGTCTCTGAGACTCCTCTTTTCGGGCACCTGCAGTCTCCTTAATCCAGCCAGGAACAAGGCAGGAAGGGTCCATTTTGTCTGGCTGCTCCTCTCTGAGATCCACGATCCCTCTGAATGTATTCTGCCACTCAGCACATGGACTATCACAATGGTATTCTGAATGCCTACCTTCACTTCCGGAGACACGTCACTCCTTCTTGTTCTCTTCATGATTTCATCTATTCTCTGGGAACCAAAAAGAACCAGGTAAGAGGAATATAGGACCAAAACCACATAAAATTATCTGGGACTATATGCAATTTCACATTTCTCAGAAAACTCATGAAAGAGAAACGTCAGCAGAGGATAATGAGTATAGAAAGGTTTTCCATTGGTTTTGAAGATGTACACCTCTGCCCTATTGACAAGGTCAAATGTTTGAAAGTAAACTAGTAACTATCTAGAACAGCCGTGGGCAAACTACGGCCCGCGGGCCAGATCCGGCCCGTTTGAAATGAATAAAACTAAAAAAAAAAAAAAGACCGTACCCTTTTATGTAATGATGTTTACTTTGAATTTATATTAGTTCACACAAACACTCCATCCATGCTTTTGTTCCGGCCCTCCGGTCCAGTTTAAGAACCCATTGTGGCCCTCGAGTCAAAAAGTTTGCCCACCCCTGATCTAGAATGTTGCTTTCATTTACATCCCATCTTTCTCCTTCCTCTCCTTAGGTTACCTAAAATTCAATAAATCACTACTTGCTATTCAAGAGGACCGCCCTAGAGAAAGTGAGGCTGAGATGCAAATCGGGAGGGGAGACCACAGATTGGTCTCCCGGCTCCCAGGCCTACAGCAACACAAAGCCCAGACTGGTACTAGGACACCATGAGAATGGACCTTACAATCAGCCTTCTTAAACACAATGTTCTCTGTGAATGCATTAAATATAAATAGACCAAATACTTCAATTTAAAGGCAAAGACTGTCAAACTGGATTAAAATAACAAGTCCTGACTATATGCTGTTTACACTGATAAGGACATATATAGGTTCAAAGAAAAAGGACGGAAAAAGATTTACTATGCAAATACTAATCACAAATAGACTAACGAAGTAGATTTTAAGACAAGTATTACTGGAGATAAAGAAGGATTTTTCTAATGATAAAGGTGTCAACTCAATAGGAAAATTAAGTAATTTGAAATATATATTCACCTAACAGCAGAGCTTCAAAACATATAAGACAAAAGTTGATAAAACTGTAAGGAGAAATGGACAAATCCATAACCACAGATGGAGCTTTTAACACTCCTCTCTCAGTAAATGATCGAACAAGATGACAGAAAACTAATAAAGATGTAGCAGATCTGAACAACACTATCAATGAACCTGACCTAATTTGAGAATTCTAAGATCACTCTACCCAACAACAGCAAGAGTACTGAATTTGCTTCCTGTTCCTGCCTCATGCTCAGTCCTCCAAAACCCTTAGCTCTTACCTTCTTCCTCTCCAGTCGCTCCTGTTCAATCTGCAGCATGATTTGTTCTCTTTCTAGACGCATCTGTTTAGCTGCCTCCTGGGCCTTTGCTTCTGCTGCTTCCTTCTGATAGGAACAGGTAAACCAAGGCATAGGCTTTACTAAGTTAAGAAAACACTATAGTAATTCCCTGGGGTTTGCATATGTTCCTTGACCTCATCTCTACCCCAAAGTGGTGCTGCTCCAACATTCAATGTGGATTTACACAGCTGGCTCTATGACACAGCAGACTGGCTAGACCTCACTCATCTATCCTTGGTCCACCATGCAAGTCAAGTGCAGACATTTCCCATATGAAGCCAAAGTCTTTCCATGTCTGATGGCAGCCTCTGGCCATGAAGTATATATGTGGCCAGGAGTTTCGGGAAGCTAATTCCCAAAGGATTGACTTTCAGCCATGAGAGGCAGAAGTTGGTAGGTAACCCCGTTTCCTCACCCCTCAGAGGGACAATTCTAAGGCATGTTCCATGGTTTCTTAGATAGTCCCAAAGGCAGTGAGTTCCAGTTGCCCACAGTATTCCACTCATCAATGCGCTTACATTGGCTTTCCTCTCACTCCCCGGGTACCAGCTTCCTGGGATCTTCTCCTGAGTCAATTACTAGCACCCATATTCTCATCCAGGGTCTGTCTTTGAGGGAACCCAAACTGACATACAGAAAACATTACCAACTTCACTTTTATTGCCCAAATTAACTCATATATACACATATTTTAATCCTCTCCCAAGGATATTTTTTCCATTGATTTTAGAGAGAGTGGAAAGGAGGAGAGAGGGAGAGAGGGAGAGAGGGAGAGAGGGAGAGAGGGAGAGAGAGAGAAACATCAATGTGACAGACATATCGATTGGTTGACTCCTACATGTGCCCTGAATGGGGGGGTGGGGATTGGACCTGCAACCCAAGTACATGCCCCTGACTGGGAATCAAACCTGAGACACTTCAACCCTCCAATGTGCAGGCCATGCTCTAACCACTGAACACGCTGGCCAGGGCAAAGTAACTCATATTTAATAACCAGCCCAGTTGGTTTAAGAAAATACTTCAAGTAAATATTATGAGTCATTCAAATTTAACTAATTTTACCTAATGTTAACTAAGGCCCTTAAGGCAAAGTCTATACGAAGACTAATAAGTACCTGCTTTTCAATCATGGCTTTTTCTTGCTTTTCTTTTTCTTGTTTTTCCTTTTCTTGTTCTTCTTTCAACAGTTGCTCCTCTTTGGCCTTCCTCTTGGCCTCCTCTTCCTCCAGTCTTTTCTTTTCCTCTTCCTGCTGCTTCTTTTCCTCTTCCTGCCGCTTCTTTTCCTCTTCCTGCCGCTTCTTTTCCTCTTCCTGCTTACGGGCTTCCTCTTCTAGGTGAAGTCTTTCCTCCTCTTCCTTTTTTTCCTGTTCCTCTCTCTCCAGCCTTTCGAGAACATAAGTGTTGTTAGAAGACAGGGACATGCTCAAAAGGCAAACTGTCAAAGAACCATGTGCTGACAGGAGTGTAATGCATGATACAGTCACAGACAAGTGCACCTGAATTAGTATCCACTTAAGAAAATGACTCATCCTTCCCAGGAAGCCACTCCAGCCCATATACTTACAAAAAAAAAATTTAACAAAGGCTGACTCCACAGTCTGTTATAAAGAGTAACGATATTGTGAACATATTGTAATGAAGACACAGATGTTCCCCAGTCAATCTACAAATGACTATAGCCCCATCATTCTTTTTTTTTTTTTAATCCTCACCTGAGGATATTTTTCCCATTGCTTTTCGGAAAGAGTGGAAGGGAGAGAGGGAGGGAGGGAGGGAGACAGAGACAGAGAGAGAGAGAAACATCAATGTGAGAGACACACATCAATTGGCTGCCTCCCATGCGTGCCTCCACAGAGGCCAAGGATCAAATCTGCAACCCAGGTACGTGTCCTTGACTGGGAATCGAACCCGTGAACCTTTGGTGCACAGGTTGATGCTTTAACCACTTAGTACCATCGGCTAGAGCTCATTCTTATTTAATGACAATTCTTTAAAAACTAAGCAAAATAAGTATTTAATACTGACTTAACCTAGAAAAAACCAAGTGTCTCAATGGCCACAAATGTGCCAGTCAACAATTTGAAAGCAGTGACTATGGGTTCCAAAGTTCACTTTGGGTTTTAATTGGCATATGACTTCTGAAGCAGCAAATGGAAGAAATGCTCAAAAGAAACTTGACATTTAATATAGAAATTAAAGTATCTATTTTCCATTTATTTTGGAAATCTTTAAAAATCTGTCTTAGCTTTTATTCTTTGCTGTATAAAATTAAATGGCATTTGGACATGCCTTTTATCCACAGATGCAGAGTTGGTGATGTGATGATAGCTCTAGGCAGTGAGGGGAAATTCTGTAACATCTAAGCGCTTGTTTTTACGTTTCTAGTGTTATTCTTGTTCACATGCGTGTCACTTTCCTTATCTTTGAAAAAACCTGAGTAATCATACTCACCTTGCAGTGTGCTCCTGACTAGCAATGTGACATATGGGCAAGACCAAGATTGCATTCTGACTGTGCCACTCACCGTGTGACCCTTCCTTGCAAAGTGACTGAACATCTCTGATGCCCATTTACAAAATGGAAACAGCTATATCATTGGCTCCATGACACCACTGTGAGAATGAAATGAGATAATGCATGGGAAGCACTTAGCACAATGCCTGGCTCTGGGTTGGTTCCCAAATGCTGGTTTGTCTTCCAATTTAAAATGAATCCTCTCTCCAACTCTTAATGTCCTTCTAAGAGCATCTATAAAACTGTGTTTTTCAGAAATTACCTTTATTTGGAAGCATGTGTCACTGACTTACTGGATGCTATTATACTGTTATAAAAAGATGAAGATTATAAAGAAGATTCTTCTATCCTAATGGTTGGCTTCAGGAATCGTGGAGACAGTTATCCTATGTGTCACAAAAGAGACATTTTTAAAAGGTAAATAAATACTTAAAGACATCATTTAGCCTAAGACTGTAAAAGTGTCTGATAAAAATATTCTACATTAGCAGAGGTTGCACTGCCCAGAAGCATTGCTACAACAACTGGAATTAACAACAGATATTCTAGAAATCTCTGGAGAAGAGCATTAGGGGGATGAATCAAGAAAAATACACACACAACAACCTCCAGTTCTTAGGTTCCCCAGTAACAGGCTGAGTACGCCCAACATAGGATTATCACAAGTAGATGTGTGGAGAACAAGATTTATCCAGAGGTTAAGCAGAGCACTGTTTCAGTTCTCATTTCTTTTAAGGAGCCAGTTGTGACTGTCCCAGACAAGCTAATACACAAAGGATCTGCTGTGTGTGAATAAATGCCCAGTTGCTTCACCTTTCTCTTTAGGATCTGAAAAGCCACTCTGTTCCTCCCATTTTACCATGAGGACTTCAGAGGTGCCCAGTGCACACACACAGAGTAAATAACATATCCTCTTGACCCCTAAGTCTCCATAATCACCCACAACAGAAATTCCTCCCCACAGGCCCATTAGCCCCTGCCTGTCCCTCCCTATTACAGACAAAATTCCCTCCATTAACCACAATCTGCTTCCCCCAGAACTGGCTTCGCCTGTGTGAAACCAAGTCACTCAATGTCCTCTCCAAGGCTGCACATCCTTTCTCTTCCTGCTTAAAGAACTGGAGTGAACACGGATTTGGTCCTTTCTCCAGCGCCCCTCTTCTGCAGGTGGCCTGCACCCCATTGTCCTTGTCATCACTACCCAGTTCCCTACAGAGTTCACCAGACCTGTGTACAGTTCTGTCACCCTCTCCGTCCTTGTTCCTGTCACCTACTCCAAACCTGCCCCTCTTCCTCACCAGGTAGAAAGGATCAGAAAACTGTGCACCACGGTCATCCTTCAGCAGATGCATCCTTAGCACCATCACCAGCCATTGGCGAGGGTCTTCACTGAACAACTCGCAAGCTCCAGCACTTCACCACCTCCTGTCCCACCCTTTCACACTTACACCACATCCCCAACATGTGCTCAGCCTTGAGTTGTTCGATCTGTGGACAAGTATGTAGGTTTCACTATTCTCTCTTCCTATGTGCTTAAAAGTCTTCAGTTTAAAAAGCTTAACCTTTAACATGTTACACTTTGTCTTGTGTGATCTGCTCTCACCCCGTCCTTCATCGCCTTCTCTCCTGACCTGTGCAGTCACTTGTATCTGCTCCCTCTTCTCTGTGCCCCAAGCCTCCGGTCCTCTCCTGAGCACTTCCAGGATAGCATGGAGCCCACTCTGCTGCCCAACTCCAGGCGCAGGTGGTTCCCAGGACCCCTTGTGCCCTCCTGGGCTGCCAACACTGTTAGAGTAAGGCCCAAACAAGGCTGACTGGTCATCTGTCCCTGGGCCTCAGCTAACACTCCAGCCTTTTGGCCCCATCCCTACCCCTGACCCCTGTGGAAACAGTCCAAACCTCTACCTTGTCTCAGTCTTCAATATCCTCCTTTATTGATTGCATCACCAACCACTTTACAGAGAAGCCCGGGGCCATCTGATCTGAGCTTTTGCCCTCTATTTCATTGTTGCTCAGAAATTTCAAAAGGACTATAAATGCTACCACTTGTGCTATTAATCGCACACTCTCCCACACCATGCTCCCGCCACTCTCCTGTGTCCTCCTTCCATCATTTCACCCTTCTACACGTACCTTTCCGTGGCCTGGGAAAACGTTCAGGTCTCAGGTGTCCCAAACAAATCTCCCCTGCCTTCCACTCACAGCCTCTTAACATCCAGCTGACGGTTCATCCTCTCCCCTCTCACCTTTTCCAAACTGGCTTAGGTCTCCCCATATCAAATTTCCCTCCCAAATATCGGTTTATCTCCTAAATGTCAAGACTTTTCCTCAGCCTCGACATATATTGTAGGTACAGATATCCTTAAAGGTCTCTCCTGTGAGGACCTCTCCCCAGCCCTGTGTGTATGAGGATCTCCCCTCCTGCCTTGGCTGCCGTGATGCCCACCGCCCCACATTGCTGGGCTTCACTTGCCCCAACAGCCAACAACCTAGAGGCTCAGCCAGTGAGGCGCGATTCTGAGTGGCAGAAGGACCTTTTATGTGGACATTGTGACCTTGCTCATGGGGGCTAACTTGAATGTCTTTCTGAGTGAGCACCTAGCAGCTATTTTAGCTTCTTGAAGTGACTTACTGGCCCCATTTTGGAATCACAGTAAGATCTCTGGCTTACTGGTTTCTGCCAGTGCCTTCCTCAGGGTAGACCTGGGCTCCAGGCTTTCTTGTCCCAACTCCAAGAGTCCTGATTTACATCTTAGCCCACCCACAAGCTCAGGGGCTATGCCCTGCTCTGTGTGCTTCCAAGAGAGCCCTGATGTCACTGCTAGTGGGCCCTGGATCAGCTTTTGCTCTTCTTCCTAGGCCCCAGCTATCTGGATTCTTGTCAGCCCTGCTGTTCTGAATAGTCTCATCCCTGATGGCATTTCCCTCACCAGTTTGTGACAATAATTGGCTTTCCACAGATTGACTCAAGGACCTTTATTTTTTCTTGGCAACTGCATGTCTGTGGCATTGGCTCTAAGCTCAAAACAGATGTGGGATGATCTTATTGTAAGTGATATCCACTGTGTTTCATACCCAGATTGTCTGGTATTTTCTTACCTCCCATGTGGTGCTAGGCAAAGCTTCACATTCTGGCAAGAGAGAGGAAAACTGGTTTGGGGTCAAGTATATTACTCTCATTTTTAGTTAGGCATCAGGCGTCAACTCCATTTTCAATCAGCTGAACATTTTGCAGGCACTTTCAACTTAGTGTGTCTAAAGTCAAATAGATAGTTTTAACCCTCTAAAATTAATTCCTTCTGTCCTTCCTTTATCGGTTATTGGGTATACCATTCTCCTAAGTCCGTACAGACTCAACCCTCAGCATCAACTTTGAATTGGCCAGTTTTATTAGGTTGTGCAAGTCTGCAGACTGGAGCTGGCCCACCTGACATGAACTCACCCTCCCTTTTCCAGGTCTACCTTCACCACACCGCGTTAGCCTTTGCCTTCTCTTAGCCTGAAACTGCAATGGTGTCTTAGATGGGCCTCTATCTCCTTCTCTGCCTTCTTTGTACATGTACTGAGTGCCAGCGCCAGTGATCCAAGGACTGTATCCCAGCCTTTTAAGATGCTTACTAGGGGGAAGCAGGCCAGTGAACAGACAAGGCTGTGTTAGCCAAACAGCTGGGCTCAGGAAGGGGGGAGAGGAAGAGATATCAGTTCTCTCCTAGGGGCAAGGCCAGAAAGGCTGCAGACAGGAAGCTAGGCTTGACCTGAGTCTGGAGAAAAGGTGTGTCTGGTGAGGAGCATGAGTCCATGTGCAGCAGAGGGAAAGCGGAGGTGTGGAATCACATGGTGAGGGCCTATCAGGGACTCTGCACGCCAGT